CTAGATAGTTTTCAAGAATTAACATTTACAATTATAATTACATCTTATTTCTATAAACGAAGCGTTTAGAGTCATCTCTTCAAAAGATTTTTTCTATAGTTATCTTGGTTCTATATATTACGCTTATTCTAAGTTCTCCGATGTCTGATCTCATATTACCTATATTCAATGAATAGAAGTTTACAAAAAAAAAATTATATACGTTTTATTACAAATGATTATGGTAAATATAATCAGGATATAAAAAACAAAAAGTAATGGCTAATTCAAATAGGCAAATATATGATAAAACTTCAACATATCACATTTAGATCATTAGTGATATTTAATGAATGCATAATATTTCTGAGATTTTCTAAATATTTTCTTATTCTATGGTAACATATAAATATGCGTAAAGTTTCTGTACTTTATACTTATGAATTTCCCTAGTGACTTTTAAGTTCTTTTTTACTGCTCTTATTATTATATGTTAGACAAAAGAGAGATGCAGAATCAATAAGAAAATATAATTGATAGAAATTCATCTGACCTATTGAGTACTCAATGACTAGAAAGAAGTACTATAGATATGAGAAATAATTGATAGATAGATAGATCGACAGAAAGAAGACAAGAAATATGATATGTTTTGTTGTTTATGTACGTGACTATGATGATGAGGTCTTTCTTCCGATAATAATCATTGTCATTCATCGTCGATAATAGAACATAAGAAAAGAAAAAGTAGAGCAGAAAAACAGTTACCCGAAAAAAAAAATCGAATTATCGATCTTATTACTATTTATTCATATACATATATATTTTTTTTAAACGATCTCGTCTAATGTCTTTTTTTCTTAGCATATACATAATCATTAGACGTCTATTTTACTATCTTCGAATGAGTAATATTTCATATGGATTATCATTTTAATATTACTAGTAAGTATAATTATATTTCAATCTCTATTGATTAAATATCAACGACGATAAATAAAATGTTAATGATCTACTTGCAATACTAAAAGTTTATTTAATATAATATTCTTATCGAATATTAAACAAAATTATTGATCAATCAATAACATGAGAAGAATTTCAATAAAAAATAAGAAGAATATTTTTATTAATCAGGTATATGATTATAAGATAATTTATTCTTTTGTTTTTTATTTTATTTTTTGATCATAATTTCAATGAAACTATTAATGAGTTAATTTAATTACATATTAATGTATTGACATATTATCTTGATATGTTTTAGGCATTTATCAAAGCAAATATTTGATTTATTTCATTATATTCTTTTCATAATCGGAAAAACGATAAATGGGTTAGAAATATTTGTTTTTTATGAGAAAAAAAATCTTGTCATTCATAATTTAGAATTGATAACTATTATACGATAAAGATAAAAAAAAAACAATATATTACAGTCTAAAGATCGTTATGCATAATTAAGTATTAAATATCAGTTCTTGATTATAAGAATTTGTTGAATAGAAAGAAAACATCTCTTGTGTAATAGATACTACTGAGTATTGTCTATGCTCGATTAATATAGAGTCTGTTATTGAATAAAACATGAGAAACATAATATAAAATGTAAAAACGATGACAGAAAAGTGTCGAATTGTATATTGTTTTTTTTTTTTTTTTTTTTTTTTTTTTATACAAATATTTTGAAAGAAAATTTTCTTTTTATATCAATTGAGAGACAATGTTTTCCTCCTCTTTCAAATTATATATAACTAATTTTTGTCTAACATTCATTAGTTAAATGATTTGAGAAAAAACAGAAACAACTAGAAAATAAGTCTGCTCTTTGGAGTCGATAAAATATCAACTCCTATGTATCTTCGATAAACATGTCTAAAAATAATAAAGGAACTTTTTAAAATTCTTTCGAACTGTATATAAATTATTTCTATCAAATATGCATAAGTAAAATATTGTACGAAAAAAAAAACAAAACGAAAATACTCGTATAATAAATTTAACTATTTTTATATGAAATTTATCGAAAAGATATCATTCAATTCGAATTATCCATTGTTTTTCAAGATCATTTTCAATAGTTCATAAAAATCGAATCAACGAGCATGAAATTAACTGTCATTCATAAAATCATTTCTCTTATGAGTTTCTATGAAAATTGTAATTTTATTATGCGTGTATTTCTCTTTCTTCTCGCGTCATTTTCAATATGAACGTACGACAAAAATAAATCAGATATAATTCGAAACAAGAGAATACTTCCTATTAAATTATGAAAGAATAATTTCTTTTTTTTCAGAACGTGCTCATCGATGACAGTATACAGATCGACATATTGTCTGACTATTTTTTTTGCATCGGATGTTATTTTTTCTTTTTCTTTTTTTTCTAAAGAAAATAGTAACAGAAAGAATTTATTATTTGAAAAGCTAATCACGTAGTTTAATTTCCTATTTCATTCATATGACATAGATCTTTTCAGTATTCTACAAACTATTTCAATCCAAGAGTTATGTTTGGGAGATAGTTGAATATTACTGTCACATACTATATATATATATGGTATAAATATGAACACAGAATTTGTATGTATAGAACAAAAACTGAGTGCACCACTGGTTGCAATCAAGGTAATTTAAAGAAAATTTAGATCATTTGTGTTTTCAATTAGATATATCAAGAGTCGATCAAAATAAGAATGTAGCTTCTTTAGATTCAGGTCAAGTTTAAATAGATTTTTTTTTGAAGTCTACTAAGTAAAGATTGATACAAATATTCAAATCATTTTGACTAAAGTAAATTAGAGTGTATCGGATTTTGTGACATGAGTGTCAATCAATAAGATGAACTAACTTATCCTTAATTTAGAATAGTACGTGATAATATGTTATTTGCATCGTTATGTCTTGACATCGTTTGTCTTATTTTTTTTTAAGCAATGTAAGTTACAAAGTTATTTTCATTCTCAGTTGTCTTCATATTAATAACTGACATTCGAAGTAACAAGCACTTTGTTGATACTTTATACAGTATATCATCTTATGGTGATATACAAAGAGAATATACAAATTATCTATGTACTATATATCTAAAGCAGATGTTATTGTATGATTATTACTTGATTTTAGTGATATTCATAGATATATAGTAAATAGTTTGTATTAGGATATTTTCTTGCAAATTATAAATTAGAAAAGAAAGATATCGAAGGATTTATTATAATTAGGACAAGAATTGAATATTATGAAGCATTTTTGTTCTTATTCATGAGTTTTGATGATGATTTTTTATTATTAATATTTTCTTCTATAATTTATTTATAACTCTGCTAAGTAAACATCGATAAAGGATATCCGAAGAAGGAAGGATCAGTCCAAATCGAACAGATTCACACTGATAGGGATCAAACCCATATGAACATCTAGATATCTGCTACGAATCTTTTTTGTTTTTTGACCGCAAATTTTTGATTCTAAGTGAATTTTACGAGCATTTTTAAAATATTAGCGAAAAGGTTTCATTGAAATTATTCGAATTCGATAGGATCTAACAGAATGTGTTTGATTCAAGTAGATATTTCATTTCTTCTGTTCTCATATACTTCGTTAATAAATGATGGCTCAATAGAAAAACTAGATGGCATTCGAGTTTCACTCGATTGCGAAATGCAATGCGAGACTACGAGTATCGATAATCGAAAAAATCCATTACTGCGAGAACTCTATCAATGCATATCAGCATGTTTTTAGAACACGCTGTGAATTTATCGCATAATCATCTTCATGATTCACCAACTATTATCAGCTGTCCACATAGATTCGATCATGAAGTTTGAATTCTCACGTTTGAACCAATAGTTTTTTGGGTTTTTATTTTCCAGATCATCATGATGTAAAATGGTAACTTTGGATGCGTAACGTCTATTATCGTTTTCGAAAAAAATAATGGCTCTGAATGTTTTTTTTTTTTGAATAACATAGAGATCTAGAGTTGTCATCATTCTAGAGAGAAGATCTTGTTTCTGACCGACCTTCTTTATGGCATGTTCCGTAACGATGGAGGTTACTATATCTTTACTCCATAAGATAAATATAAATACAATCTTTATATTTATAAAATAAAGATAAGATAAACGATAAAGGAAGATTTCTTTCTATCGTAAGCAAATAAACAAATGTCTAATATAACAATAAGATATGTTACTTAATATTCTATCTTATGACCAACATCATTTCAATATGTGATATTATTAAAAAATATATCCAAAAAAATTTTCTGTTTGCATTATTTATATTGATGATAACATAAATAAAGTAATATTCCTATTCATAATACAGATCCAACTCATTTTTGATAAATTATAACTATCCTATTTTTGCAAAGTCTTTTTTTTTCTTACATTCTTCCGACATCACATAATTAATTATTAAATTTTAATGATCTATTTTGAGTATTCATATTTTTCTTTTTAAATTTCCTTCTATAGTAATTATGTGCATATTTCTAGAAAGTTTTTGTTATCAATAATTATTATTTAAATTTATTCGAATATTAAACTACAATTTAATCTCGATAAAATTCTCCAATAGTTTTATTGATACTGATAAGTTTTAAATTTTATTTTTGAAATTATTATTTAACAAATAATTCTATTAAATATTCAAGATAGTACCAAAACTTGTAAGAGTATTCTACTTGTACTTCTAGAACAGAGAACACAATACGTGATGCTTGACTAATATTGACATACTTCCGATATATGACAGTGTTTCCTTTTTTTTTTATTCATGAAAAAAAAACACTTCACACAACTTGATGTAAAATTTATTCAGACATTTTATAATTAACTCTGATGCAGATCTCAGACAAAAATAAACCCTTCTAAGATATGTCGTGTTACTGTTTCTAATAGAAAATGAGGATGCGACATCAGTTTATATTGAAAGTACACACTATTACTGTTCAATGTAATTTAAATTGAAACGATGCCATTCCAACTGTTGTATTCAAACAACATGAGAATGAAACTGGTAGAAGTAAGACATTTTGTAGGTAAACGAATCAGAGCAAAATGTTCTTCTGTTCACAATAGAACTGTGACATGAAAGTAAATATTTAACTAATTATGCACTTATAAGTTAACGTAAAATGGAAGAAAAAAAAACCAGTAACATAAGTAATGGATTATTGATCAAGAAATGTTTATGTCTATATTTATAAACTTTAAATAAATTATCTTAATGATTTAAATATTAGTAAAATAATATGTCGTCTACAATGTGTCATGCCTTTTTTTTCTGTTCTTTTTTTTTTTTAGAACAGTGCAATTATTTGATGTAAATCTATAAGTATTGATAATATTTTTCCCTTATTTCATGAAATTGTCGGTAACTTTTATAAAAAATTCATGTACTAGTGTTTAATGAAAAAAAAACGCTTTTTAAGTAAGAATGCCGTGTTGTTTAGAGATTCTTCATGGCGTTCATGTATTATGCGAGTAAGTAAATGAATTGAATATTCTATCTCTTTCTTATGTGCCTGTGTCATCTATTAAAAAGCCAGATAGATACAACTTATATCTATAAATGTCCTATATCAATTAGAAGAATTGTTTTTTTTTTTGTCCTATAGTAAAAGGAAAAAAACAAATTTAAATTATATCAATCTTTTGAAAAGAAAAAGTAAATAATCATTCCTACATTTTATAATATTAATCAATATGATTCAATTAAATATACACAGATAAATTTAACATATTTGTATGTAACCTTCAAAGAAGACTAGAAATAATATAATTTAAATGATTTTTTTTCTGGCTATTAAATCAGAATGAATTTCAATATTATTTCAAAAACATTTTTGACAATTATTCAATAACAATATTTTCTATTGTATGTACATTAATTTGTTGAATCTTAATGAAATTATGTTCTATTTTCATTTAATTTAATTATCATTTATTAAAACCATATATATTAATAACAAGTCTATTCTTGCTTTTGACATTGAACAGATCCATTAAATTTTTCAAGTATTTATACAATAAATGTAATATTTATTTGATTTTTCTTTTATTGTCGATAGTCTATAGTCGTTTTTTTCTTTTTTATATTGATTATTATGATACTTGTGCTTTCCGGAAAATATAAAAAAAGCTATCGATATCAGTCCTAATAAATCGACAATTCACTTATATTAATTATGATATCGAACATAAAAGAATCAAAGAGTAGGAAGAAAAAAAGAATATGAATCTCCATTAAATGTAAGAAATATCAATCAATTAACAAATCCAGAGACAATATGTTTAGTATGCCGATAGAGAAAAGACGTCTTTTCTTGATATTATTTTTCATACGTTATTTTTTTCTGATTCCATAGTTAACAGTCGTCATCAACTGACAATTAACTACTCATCAAGTTAAGTAGAGAATTTAGTTCATTTTTAATCATTATTAGTTGTTCTCACTATCATTAATGTAATATATTACAGAGTACCAACAATCTCCATATATGTATATTTGTGTAATAAAGAAACCGAAAACTATATTGAAGAAAAGAAAGAGAATCTGAGAAACGAGAGACAAAAAAAAATAGACAGGATTATACTTGTCTAAGATGAGATAGATGTCTTTAAATACATTTCAGCTACTGGGTTTTTTTTTCGATCATATTCATTATCGTTGTTCTATATCGATAACAACGACTAAGAAGATGTATAATTCAATTTTGAAAAAGAAAAAATTTAATTATTTTTTATTTTTTATCAATAAATGACTAGCAAAATTCACTTAAAAGTGAGTTATAATTCTATATAATTTTTCTCTCATGAACATACGCTTGTTTATATTAGATGATTTATTTATTTAATATCTAATAAAGATCTGGTGATGATGGTAACTGTTAGAATTATCGTTCGTTTAATATAGATCAAGAATCTAGTGTATGCCAAGCAGAAGTTGATTTATCTTCAATGTCATTCAACACTTCATTAATGATATCATCATAATGAGATCCTAAATAGAAATAATATTAGACAAGCAGAAAAAATTATTTCTTGTCTTAGTAAAAGAAAAAAAAAACAGATTTTGAGATATCCTTTTTTTTTTTCCTTATTGTCGAATAATTTCTATGAATATTAGAAATATAATCAATTTATTTCATTATTAATTTTCCTCTAATAAAACAATCCATGGTTTCATCACAACGACACTCACTTAGGGATGAAGAAGAACCAGAAAAAAGTTTCTTAGGATTTTGTTCTTTTTGTGTGGTGAGATATTTTTTATGAACAAATTAGAATAAAAAAAAACAATAAAACTATTTTTTTATTATTTCGATTAATAAAAATTAATATATTGATAAATTTTCTTTTATAGGAATTAGTAGGTGGCACAAGTAAAAAACAAAATTGGAAAGGTTTAGGTATTGCATTTATTGTTATTACAATTATTTGTCTATTTATTGCTGCAGCAATTCTTCTTACAACCATTCGTAAGAGAAATATATTTTTGTTTTTTTGTTATTAATACATATTCTAAATTAGTTATTTCATTTAAGAACGAACAACAACTCATAATGAACTTCTTATAATTAGTGAACAAGATATACTTAATATAAAAGTACCTAGACCGTTAGTTATTGTTTTTTCTTTTGATTTTATTTCATTTTTTTGATTTTATGAAATAGTTGGAATGGTACATGGATATCTGATAAATATTTTTCATATTTCGATACAAACGATTCTATATGGATTTATAATTGTGATACACTGAAAGAAGAATTATTATTTAAAAGAGATATTATACAACAAGAAAATATTGGTTATGGAATTGTTTCACCATCAACAAAATATATTCTTATACCTATTAGAAAAGAAAAAGTAAAGAAATTAAATATTAAATTCTAAAAAAATGCTTGTACATATTATCTTTGTTTTTTTTTTAAATTAGATTCGTCCATATTATACTGAATATCAATATGAACTTTATGAAAAATCGAAAATAATTGCACCAATAACATATCCTGATGATCAAAAAATATCTTTATCAGCTGTTTTATATTCTCATTCAGATCATTTATTTGTGAGCGATTCCTTTTCTTTTATCTTATAATATCAAAAACTAAAAGTCTTTTTTTTAGGCTTTTATTTATAATTTTGATGTTTATGTATATGATATAACTCAGAAAACAAGTTACAGAGTAACAACCGATGGAAATCGAGATACTATTCATAATGGTCTTGTTGAATGGATTTATGAATGTAAGATTACGGAATCGAAACTCATATTCAAAAGATTATTATTCTTAAAAAAGAAAATTTTCTTATTTATTTTTGTCGATGAATCAAAAGGACTGAGAAAGAAACAAAGAGTTGTTTTTCGCTTAATATTCGTAAACTGTACATATAAAATAAACATTCTATTTATGAATCAATTTTTCGATTTGAACTCATATGATTTATAAAACAATTTCACCAAAGTCATTTTACTAAAATGTAAAAAGTGAGAACATTTTTGGATTAATAACTTGTCATCGAGTGTAAAATATTCTGATTTTATTATCAATTATTTGAAAAACGATTTGATTGGAAAGATACATTTACTCTTAAACTATATTCCAAAATAAAAATACGTGTTATTAAAAAGATTCTTATACATATATTTTTTTTTTCTTAGATGAAATTTTCAATCAAAATATTCTTTTATTTTGGTCACCAAATGATCATTATTTAGCTTTTATTAAAATAAATCTAACAAAATTACCAAAAATTCATTATTTAAAATATGATTTAACATGGGAAAATGATGATCAATATTCTATACCATATCCAAAATATGGTGATCTACTTCCATTACTTGATGTTTGTATTTTTGATATTAAGTCAGGAAAAGTTATTTGTGTACCACGACCCATCGAATATGGAAAATTGTAAGATTCTTTTTGTAAAACTAAAGGGAAACAAATTGATTTCTAGTATAGAAACCATCAAAAAAAACATTATAAGACCTTAAGAATACGAATCATGACTGAAAGTAGTTAAAAGTTATCGGAAATCATGATAGATCATTAGAAATCAATGAAATCAGTTTGTTCTTCCTTGTATAAAACACAATCTAAAAGGAGTATTGAAGCATAGGGGTAAAAGTTTAAATCCGTTTCCCTCCTTACAGACTGTGACAGGTGCTAGTCATAGACAGTGGCAGATGCTAGGTATAGATCATCACAGATCTTGATGGACACTAGGCATAGACGATCACATACCGTGACAGATGATAGTAAGAGACTGTCACAGGCTGCAACAGACACTAAGCATAGATCATCATAGGCTGTGACAGATGCTAATGAGAGACCGTCATTTGTAGTGACAGACGCCTCAGCAATGTTCCGCCTCTCCGTCAAATATCGTGATAGACACCTTAGCAACACTCTCCTCCCGTGTCATAGAATGTGCCAGAGATGTCGGTATATGATAATAGATCGTATATCAATCATGTTTCGTTATAATATATGAACTACTTCCTCATTGAGTTTCTGGAAGATTATGTGTCCGAAAGTAGATAGAATAAAACAATCTTCTAATAATTAGCAACAGCAGCAGCTATATCATCCTTGATATTTTTATCTCGTAGAGATTGCGCTAACCGTTGGTTTTTTTTTTTAAATATTGATTTCAAATTTTTAGAAAAAAATCTGATGTATACATCTATCATGTTGTTTGGTGTAGTGATACATGTTTATCTATTGTTTATGGTAATCGTATGCAAAATTCAAGTGTAATTCAATTATATGAAATTTCAAATGATAAAGTAAAATTAAAATCAAAATTCATTGAAGAAACAAGAAAATCTTTTTTATTATCACGTTTTCTTAAACCATATTTTTCATCATATGGTACATATGCTTATATAATACGTTTTGATCCATTACATAGTAGTAAATCAATACAAAAAGCTTTTCCACGTGTTGTACGAATACATTTTAATCAAACAGTATATATAATTTATATTAATAAGAAAAAGAAATAGAAAATAATAAACTATTTTTTTTAGTATCCACAAATAGATGCAAAATTACCAGAAGAAATAAATGCAGATGAAATAATTCATGTTGATAATTTGGGTCAAGTTTATTTTACTGGATCACGTCACAATGATTCATTAGGAAAACAATTTTATCGGTAGAAATCAATTTGTTGGTTTTTTTTTTTTCTTTTATTTTTAAAAATTTAATTTCATTTAAAAATAGATGGACTTATTCAAATTCAAAATCTGAAATTGAATGTCTATCATATAATGAATCATGTGGTTATGTAAATGCTCAATTTAGTCTTGGTAATGGAACTTATTATATACTTGAATGTTTTGGACCATCAATTCCTTATTCAACATTATATAATCGAAATAAAAAACTTGGTAAACAAAATGATCCTTCTTTTTTTTTTTATTTAATCGAAATTTGTTATTTTTAAAGCATTTATTAATGATAATGAACTATTTGGAAAATGGGCAAATAATCGATTAATGCCTTATATTGATTATTTTACAGTACCATTAGATGAAAAAAATACAGGTAAAAATTAGTAGTTTCGCTTAGAATAAAACAGATAGAATTTTCTATTGTATTTTGTTGTTTTTCATTGAACTAATAGAAAGATTTTGTTTTTTTGTTTTTGAAAAATCATAAACGCCTGAAGAATATGAAAGGAGATTAATGATTATAACTTTTGTCTTTAATGAGTTGTTATCTGAAAACAAGTCATATTAAATGTGTCCAGGTCGGGTCAACTCGAACCGAGTTGGGTTAGGTCATGAAAAAAATAGTAGCCATTGAGTCAGGTCGGGTCAACTATAAAGCTTGCAGGCTGTGAGCATAAGAAAAGAAAGATAAACAAGAAAAAATCCTATCACATAATTATGGTGTTCCAACTACGGAATATCGAGAACGAAAGTTTCTAACTACGGAATGAATGGAGGAAAAGGATTGAAAAAAAGTAATCGATAACAGAATCCGACTCAGCTTGGGTTACAAAAATTTAAACTATATCAAATACTGACACACTTTGGATTAAATATATTAATTAGAAAAAGATCCTTCTCTGGCGTTCGATCCATCGTTATCATTAGGAATTCATGTAATATATCTGTTGCTAAATAGTTCCGATGGAAAGTGCACCACCATCTACCAAGAAAACCTTCACGTGAGGTCGTACTGAACTGATGAATTGGGTCTGTGGTGTCAATAGAATTCATGTGAAATTGAAACCAATTACCGCATAATTTTAGACAAATAAATAATAGAAGTTTCTCTGTAATTGACACTAGTAAGTTCTATTCTAGTCACACGATGATGATGAAGTTTTTCTTTCAAAATATAGTTTTGACCGAAAAAAAGAAACAAATAATTATCCGTTTATAAAGGAATTATTTGCAATGATTCATCATTTTTTTTTTGAGCTGATATTTTCAGTATTAGGACTAGAATAGTCTCAAAACGAATCAAATTTATGGATATCCTTTTCAGAGATATGACAGTTTTGCTAGATTTTTATTATAGGACCGAATAAATAAAAGTTTTAGCCAAGACAATTTTTTTATATTAAGAAATAGTTAATATTCAAAATCTTCCAATTTCTTTGATGATTTGTGCAACGTAATTAGATTTTGAATATTGAATAACTCAATAAGGAAGCAATCGTTTTGATTGAAGCTTTTAGAATATTCTCAGGATCATAAGACCTACTCATAGATAAATCGGAGTCTTAGCTTTCAGGATTCTGTAAATCCGGGTACGGAAGTAAAAAATGAAAAGAGCCAATTTTACTTCTGGAGAATACTTCCAAGTATTAGTAGTAAAAATTTCAGCTTTAGTGGTTATGCAGAAGTACCCTTAAATCCTTTCTATATGCACTGAAAAATGATGAATCACTTCGGACAGTTCTTTCATTAGTTGGTAAACTATTATTGCAGTCAGGTTTCGAAAATCCAACTGCAATGTGACAAAGCTTTTTGTGTGTAGTTTATCTATATCATAGGATTCGATCTGTCAGTAGAATATAAACTCAATTGTAGGATAGAAGAGTTCTTTCATTAGAACAATCCTTTCCAATAGTATAGATTTTTCTTTTTCATATGTTTAAACCTTTTTTTTATAAATTAAATGTATTTCATATTTTATATCAATAGTTGGCAATGGAATGATTATTTTACCACCGAAATATAAGCCGAATGTCACAATTATATCTGATCCTGTTATTGTAATAATGTAAGATATTGATATTAATTATAAAATTTCTTATTGTTTTTAAATTATAGAAACCATCGGTTATTTGATCAACGTGTAAATAAAAAATATGTTGTACCATTTTCAGAGTATATCTATACACGTAAATCTTAACTATAAAAATTATCTTTTCTTATTTTATTTAGATTTATTCAAGTTATACATGATAATATTAGTATTATTATATTTGATGCACATGGTAGTATGGGACAAGATGAAAGTTATTTAAAAAATAATTATCAGGATTGGTTTGAACGACAATATGAAGATTATATTAAACTTGTACAGTAAGAATATAAAAGATAATATCGGAAGAATTTTTTTTTTAATTTCTTTTTAAATTTATATAGACATCTTAAAGGGAATGAAAAAACCAATAATCGAATATTCACTAATGCAAAATTTGGACTTAAAGCACAAGTAAGAATTTACAATAAAAAAAACAAGAAAAACCAATTTTTTTTTTTTGGTATAATTAGATGATCGTATCGAATTTTAGTCAGTATACATGACTAATCTTTTATATTCTTATGAGACATTTTTTAAGTACATTTTATTTATAGATTTAAAGACTATTTTATTTATAAAGGACAAAATTTTTTCAAAAAACATTTGTTTCATTTATTGTATTTAAGCATACCGCCAATGTATTCCTAAATACAATCAAGATGGTAACTGTAAGATATTCCACTGCTTGATCTAAAACAATTGAGAGATGTTTGTTGGAGGCATTTTTTTTGGGACAGTAGTGTTCATTTTAATACTAAATACAAAGGTTAATCGATGGATTGAAAGTTTATTCTACTGGATTGTGACCTTCTTTGGATTTAATTATGTTCTCCTCTTGGAAAAAAACCACTTTTCTCGAATAAAAACTGTTAGCGCTATTCCTATGCAATTAAAAGGTGAAACACGATATTGCTGCTGTTGCTAATCATAGGAAGATTGTTTTATTCTATCTACTGTCGGACATATTTCTTCATCATCATTTTATTTAATCTTCTAGAAATGGAATATAGAAGTAGTTTATTTATTATAACGAAACGTTATTGATATACAGTGTATGATCGTATATCAATGCTTGTCACAGTTGGTGGCGTATGGAAGACGATAGATGGGCTCAAATTTCTATCTCTACACTTCAACACTGCTTTTAGATCGTGTTTCACAAAAATATCAAAAAATAAAAATATTGTCACAGGAAGATATATCGACGTCTTCTCTTTCTGAATACATGTGGTTTTTGCGAAAAATACTCAGATTTTAAAAGATTTATTGATATGAACAAATTACTAAAACTGAAGTGTATAATAATAATTATGGCAAAGGTTACATGTTTCTATTTTATTTTGGATGTTTTCTGAGTGTATATGGAAACAAATCGATTTCTAAACGTAATTACCATCTTTCTTACAATATGATTTGTAGTCAAAAAAGTAAAATTTCTTCCATACTTTTCAATATATAATCTATCTATCTTTTTTTTTTTTTGAAGCTTTAAGTTAGTGCCGTGGACGTTAGAGACTTGTTTTAACTTTTAGTTTATTAAAAAGCTAATAGAAAATGAACGAAAGCAAATTTGAAAATTCTTTTTGAACACAAATTGTGCATAGATGTTGGGTTCTATTTGAAATCATCTCGAATTTTGTTGTTCTTTTAATCAAGGAGCTTTTAAAATTCTCCTGGAAGTTACAAACTGACTATAAGTCTTGATCTAATGTCTGCGCTAGAGTTAAGGAGGGATGAGTATAAGATCAATAACTCCGCAATGACAACAGTTAGCAACCTTTGGTTTTCAGAAATTCAATCAGGAGAACCTTGAACGCCTTTTTGTCTGATACTATATAAGAGAAAGTTATTTTAAAAAGAAAGCTTGCTAAAAATCAACAAAACTCTATATAATTTGACTGAATAGATACGTGATTTTGTTTTCTCAGCATTGACATTTGAGAAGATAATTACCTAAGTCGTACCATTAACTATAGATCCAAAGCACATGCCAAAATCAAAATTACATTGAAATAAAGCACTATTTTCAATGTTTTGCAAAGATGGTGGATTTTAAAATAATTTTGTCTTATAATATATCAAATAAATACGTGTCCGGAGTTCTCCTTTTTCGATTGCTGAAAACCGCAAGTCATTGGTTATTGCCCTTGTCAAGTTGTCGAAATTACATTCATCCCTCTTTAATTCCTACGTAGACATTACTCGAATGTATTGAACCAAAACTTTTATTAAAAAAATTTCTCAAAACTTCAGTCCAGATGAATTTTGTTAATTCAGAAATTTATAATGAGGAACAGATAGATCTCATCCTATCCGTTATCAAATAATTCAATCAGAGACTTAGATTGATTGAAAGAAAACGTCTCGGTAGCAGTGGCGGAGTCAAAATTTCGAGCTTAGTTATTCGCAATTTAACATACGAATTGAACTATTGGTATAGTTTAATAAGAAGTTTTTAGTATTTAATAATCATATCAAATTCTTCTATCTACGATGATCTATCGATGAAAGAGGTTCATTTTTGTGTCATTATGAAAGTCAACACTTACTAATAATTATGTATTCATTAAATTAATCTTCTTTAGGGTCCAGCTGCTGTTATAGCATTAAAATTACTCGAAGAAAATAATGACGAGAAAGAACTATATTCATGTGCATTTCTTCGATCACCTGTTAATAATTTATCTCATTATCGTAAGTTTTATTTCTTGATTTATTTATCAATAATCATTTTATTTATTTTATAGATGCAATTTTTAGTGAACGTATTAGTGGATTAAACGTTAATGTAAAATCTGTATGTAAATATAAAAACATGCAAATGTTTATTAGTTGTTTTATGCTTGTTTTTTTTCTAAAGTCTCATCGATTAAATATTCGAAATAACAGTTTAGCTATTGTTCATGGAACAGCAGATGGTAAAAGATTAAATATTAAATAGAATAAAAATATCTTCCTCTCTTTTGTTTTTTTAGAAGTTGTACATTTTAAACATTCAGCAACATTAACTAAATCTTTAATTGATAGTCATATTCGATTTGATTTCAAAGTAAGAATCTTAAATTATCTGTAAATGTAGAATCACTTTTTGTTTTCTTTCTTGAAAAAAGGTTTATCCAGATGCTGATGATCATTTTGAATTAGATCCAACATTATATAATGATGTATTCAATTTTCAACGGCGATTTTTTCGAGAATGTCTTGCTGAACGAATAAATGAAAAACCAAAAGTAATTCCACCAGAAGAAACTGATTGATTTATTTGAAAAATAAAAATAAAATAGATCATTATATTTCTATATCAAAACTCGAATGTAATTCACCGTTGGAATATATATATATATTTTTGTTTTGTGCATATGTATTTGTACAGCTCAAGTTTATTTTTTTTTGAATGAGCTTATTTTGATGTTTTATTAACCGATGAAAAAATAAAACCGTACAGATAGATATTAGATCAATAATGTATGGATAAATCGAATTTTATTTGATTCAGTACTAATAATTAATATTCATTCATTTTTTGGCTACTAAAACATAACTGGTCAGAGTTAGTTAGAATCAGAATTTTCTGATCTTTCCGAATGTATGTTCGTAATTTGCATCTGGATTAAGATTGAACAACTATCATCAGATTGTTTTGAAAGATTTAAAATAGTGCTTGTGCAAAATACTATTTTGTATTTCAATTGAAACCTATCGAATTCAAAATGCGAAGCAGTTTTCAATGGCTCAGTTCGCTCTACAAAGGATATTATTTACTTTTGCATGACAGATTTTACAGCTTTTTTTCTAAAGTAGTTTTTGAAACAGTGCTTGTCGATTTCCATAGAAATTAGCTCTTTAGGGAGCACGTACAGATGAGATTTAGCTTATTGTAATATCTCATTCAATGCTATGCAATAATGTTGAGTTGAAGCTGTTCTAAGACACAAACTAAGGACTGCATCGAAACTGCTATTTTGCTTTGCATAGACACAGTTTTGAACTTTTTCACAAGATTTACTGATAGTTGTTTAATCTTACTCTAGAAGAAAAATCTGAACATATATATGTTAGTATCCAATTTCAGATTCATCTGAGCCAATCTCGAATCTGATATTGAAAGAACATTAATGTAAGCCATTCTCGAATTAGAGATTAAATATACTGCATTCTATGTGGACGTATTGACCCAGTCCAAAGAATGTACTGAATAAAAACTAAAATAGAAAAATGTGGATGAAATTGAATCATCGTTTATGATAAAACAAGTTTCGAAAAAGTAACAAAGATGATTGATATCTTGATTATGGGTATGGAAACAGGACAAAGAGAACAAATGTACCTACATTTTAAATCTTTTAGTGACTGTAAAATGAACGAATAGTTTGCACTTAGATTTTGCGTACTAGGTTATATAATGTTTGCCTTCAGGAAAAATTAATATTAACTATTGAAATGAAGAGATTCTTCTCAGTAATGATTTTCTACTCAATTTATTGCGATGGAGCGATTCTATTACTTTTTTTTATGAAGAGCAAGACGAACATATGGACTACTATTAGATTTTTTCATGAAATAATGTTCTCAAGGATATAGTACTAATTTTTCACCTGCATCTCAGTTAATATTTAATAAAAAAACTCAGAATAGTTTATACTTAGAATGTATTAAATAAGGTTTTTCGAAAAAACTTCTGCCTTGAACACATTTTTTTAAAAGCTAAACTAATAATATCTTAGTTGATATTGGAACGAGTATTTTCTATTTAAGCTCTATTAACATCAATGGAACAAGGTTTTAGTTTAGTAGGATTAATTGATGCATCACAAAGGCTATCAATGTTAGAAAAAGTAATTAGAAGTTTGAAATTTTGATAAGTTGACCGAAATTTTATTGATGTCGTTTTCAGGACAGCTTTTTTCTATTAACACGTTTTAAGATAATTTACGGTGTTTTGATTGAACTTGTGTATATTTTCGAAGAAAAATAATGAGTTGAAGTTTAAATCAATATCTTCACGATTGCTCCACCCCAGATCCTAGTAATCGGATCACAAACTATTGAATATAAATGCTGTCATAAAGACAACAGACACGTCATTCTTTTCCTATAGTTCCTCAGTAACAACAACGGCACTGAATGACTATATAACAAAGTTTAGACTCTTTTGGTACATTCTATAAGTTTTCTTGAACTCTCATGAGACGCAATATGTTTTTCAAATGTTTTAAATAACGTCATTTCTGATTTTTGATCAAAGAAACGGTATTATAGCATATGTTAAAGATGACGGCTAGTATCCCATCGATTTTGTCATACAATCATCATTCAAAGACTTTCTATGTTTATTGAGATACAAGATAATATGTTGAAATCGCCTTTGGATTGTCTCAAATGGATATACATAGCAAGTTAAGTTGCCAAATAAGCGAATAATAATAAATTTATGGAAATGCAATAAAAACACATAATAATGAACGAGTCAATAGCAACAAGACAAATATAATATAAAGTACCGGTAAAAAAAAAATTCTATTTGACGTGCAATTATAAATAAAATAGAGTGCCTTCTTGATAATTGACTGTCATTAAAAGGTAATTATCATCTCTTAGATATTGTTCTCTTGGCACATTTCATACTAGTATAATGTTGCTCGAGAAGATATTTGAGTTTTACAATTGCATATCACATGGTACTACACTCATAAGTTTACTCGTTATGCAATTGCATTAGAGATCTGCAAATAAATTCAAACTCATTATCTATTATTAGAAAATTAAGAATAACTTTTAAAAATTTGAAGAAGATAAAAAAAAACTTCACGCTCTCAAAACAAATCTTTTTGTTTTTTTTTTTGTATTTTGTATTGAAAGTGCAACTATTTTTATCCTGATTTTACTAAAAATGTTCTGATGCAATTATAGACTCTTTGTGCTCTGTTATTTACTATTGATATTTTTGTATTGATGATATTTAGATTAGTTTAACAACTAATATACTTTAAAGAATTTCACTGAAAAAATAGCGAACTTTTACTTGCAAATTCACTACCTCGGTAAGGAATAAAAGCGATCGTTTTGTATTTTTTACTGTAAAAACAAAAAAGACGGAAATTTTAAAAGAAAATGGTACACTTAGTTTCATACGCATTCGAACTTTAACTTAAAAACAAATAATTATATCTTCGTTGATAAATAAAGTTCCGATTTTTTTATTTAACTCGGTTTTGTAAATAACCATTATCTATTTACATAATCTAAAATTAAAATCTTTTTTCTGACTTAGTGTGTCGCATATAATAGATAAATAATACTTTAATACAAACACACTTTTTCGAGATGAAAAAAAAATAGAATTAATTGAACATACAAAATATGATTAGTAAGAGCACAAATAAATAAAGAACTACTATAGTTTAAGTACAACCTATACAGAATAATAATAAATAAAAGTAGGTAAACATGTACATAAGTCATCATTATGATATGAGATAATTAAAGTATGTAAGAGATATTTGCCCTGTTAATTTATATTTTCATTTTTTTTTTCATAAACAGTAATAATACAACAATAATAACAACAAAAAAAAAAGAATCAGGATTCACAAATATATGACTGTGTAATTTTTTTAATCTGACATATATGATTAAATCAGTATGAAAGTAAACACCGGAAAAATAGAAAAAGAAAATATTCTATTTTATTATCTATTTAATCTTCAGCACCACTACTGTCAAATTTTAATTTAATGGGAGATTTTCGACTAAATGAAAAAAAAAAATTATTTTATAAAATAACAAAGAAATAAAATACTTACGAATAAATATGATTATTATTTGTATTTCCATCTGAATCATCAGGAAAAAGACGAATTCGTAATGGATCCGTAGGAATCGGTGGTGGTGGGGGTGGTGTTCTAAAAGCATATATATATATCGTTAAATATTGATTCATTCGTATGTTTTCTTTTTGTTATTGTTTTAATCGCAAAGAAACATAATTGTCTTTTCGAACCAAAATATCGTTCAAAATGATAATAATTACTCTGATATAAAAATAAAAAAGATATTGAATAATCAAGATTAAAATAAATACGATAATATATTGATATATTCTAGTAACGAGGGAAGGTTACCCAAGTAATAAATCGCTTTTAAGCTGAGACTATATTCAATCGATAGAGTCTAGTGAGTAAGTAAATATCCTAGAGTGATTCAACCTGCTAGATCTTTGTTCTTAAAATTTCGAATGTTAAATAGGTATATACTACTCTCATTAAAATGGGTCTGATGTAGATCGAAGATCACTGATAATCATCAGTCACAAAACAAGTATTAATAGAGATAAATATAAAAACATCAGAACATGTTCTCCATTAATCAGTCAAATTTTGGATTGGTGCATATTATCTAAGTCAAAACGACTTAAACATCTAACCATATTGTCATATTAATCTGAAGGAAATTTTAAAAAACTCTTTCGTAAAAAATCGCTTTAAAGTATAGTAAACAACAGTTCGGTATAAATTAAAGCTGTGATATATTCTCATTTCGGATAAACTTTTCCACTTAGTCTAATAATTTTATAATTTTGAAAATATTCAATACATCCTATCTTGTCTCTCAAGACAAAGTAAAAAATTATCAATACTTACAATTGAGAATGATGATGAATAGCAATTTGTCGTATTTCTTCTATAAAGAAAAACAAAAAAGATTATCTTATTAAAGAAAAAACAAAACAAATTTATTCAAACCATCTGAATGTTCTTCATGATAACCAGCATAATTAGGTGGTCGTTTTGGATTTTTAATCGGTGTACGACAACCATGATTAGCTGGAGAATTAGTATCACTCGTTACTGAAATAGTCTACAAAAAAAAAAAAAAAAAAAAATCTTAAAATAAATAACTATTAAAAAATTTTCTTTTAATCAAACCTGTTCATGTTTTTGTTGATTAAATGCAAATGGCGATTTCACATGACAAATCTATATAAATAATTATAATAATTATTTCAGTAAAAATAAATAAATCTTTATTGTTACTTCTTCTCGAATCATAAGACTATCAAGTACATCTTTTGCTGTTGGTCGTTGTTTATAATTTGGATGAATCATTCGAAACAGAAGTTCTCTTAATTCTATATCAGTTAATACTGATGTTATTTCTAATGGTAATTTTAATTCTCGAATAGCTGTCCAAAGATCACCATTTATAGGTAAATCAAAATCACTAATTAATTCAAATGCTGCTAAACCTAAACTAAATA